GCTCTTTGTCAATTGGAGCAGTCAGTGAATTTGCAATGCTAGCAGCAATTGACAATTTGAGTCTCCTGGTACCTGAACCCCCTCCTCATTCACTTCCTCTTCCATTACTTTTATTTGACTTTTGCCTTTGTTGATTGTTAAAGCATTGTTTCCTAGCATTCTACCTTACACGTGTCTCTTCTCACCCTCATGGGTCCCTAGTAGGCTCTTCTATTTCCTCTCTCTAAATTATTAATATCCTGATGGCTTTCCAGGATCAGTTGGTCCTGGTTTTTCTAGAAATTCAGAATTGATGTTTCCTTTCTTACTGTACATTTCCAACCTGATGTTCCGCAAGTACCTCAGATTCAAATGTCTCAAATTAAATTCCACTGTCATTGTTCTCTCTTCTTTTTCCTTTTTTTTTTGTCTTGGGAAGAACAGTATCCAGATCATTCAAATCAGAACCTCAGTTACCTAACAATCACAAAGCCTTTCTCCTTCTCTTCGAGACCAGTTTATCTTCCACACAGCCATATAAAATAAAGAATTGATCAATGTAAATGACCTCTCAAAAGTTGTCATACTACCTTTTCAAAGTCTTTTAAGGCTTAGAGCTATTTTATCAGCTTCATATATAGCTATTCCTTTCTCTACTCATATAAACAATGCCATTACTAGCTGGACAAGGTGGTTCATGCTGGTAATCCTAGCTACTCAGGATGCTGAGAGCTGAGGATCAAGGTTCAAAGCCAGCCCGGGCAGCAAAGTCCGTGAGACTCTTATCTCCAATAAGAAAACTCAGAAAACAGAAAGTGGCACTGTGGCTCAAGTGGTAGAGTGCTCACCTTGAGCTAGGGAGAGTGCCCAGGCCAAGAGTTCAAGCCCCACTATTGACCAAAAAACAAAAAACAAACAATGCCTTTTCTGAAATACATGTCTCTTTTTCTTCTTGTTCATAAACTCTGTCATTCTTTTTTTTTGGGGGGGGGGTCCGGTCATGGGGCCTGAACTCTGGGCCTGGGCACTGTCCCTTAGCTCTTCAGCTCAAGGCTAGCGCTCTACCACTTGAGCCACAGCGCCACTTCCGGCTTTTTTCTTTTTGCTTATGTGGTGCTGAGGAATCGAACCCAGGGCCTCAGGCATGCAAGGCAAGTGCTCTACTATTGAGCTACCTTCCCAGCCCTCTGTCATTCTTTAAGACTCAATACAAATGTTAATACTTGCATTTACTGATAGTGCTTAGTTCAGAATTACTTGTACCTTTCCTTGTGTACTTTAACATTTAAAGGTTTTTGGTCTGTTTCACTCAGTAAACTGTGAGTTCCTAATTTAGGAAGGGATTATGTCTTATTAACCTGTCATTTGTAATTTTAGCACAGTAACTTTGTCATACTGTTTAGAAAAAAGATGTCTTTTAAGTAAATGGAAAATTATGACCAAGTATCTAATGCACTTGTTTTAGACTATAAGAACAGAAGACTTTACTGTGTTCTATAAGCAACATAAACATTAGGGAACATGTCAGTAAATACCTTCTCGATTATACAAATGAAAGCTCTCCTACATTGGAGGCTTCTATGGCTATTTTCAGGAGAACATTACAAGGGCTGAGGAACACAGCCAGCATCTCACAATCTAAAAGTCATTATCTATAACTGGATTTTTCAAAGGCAGATATTGCTTTACATTCACTTTAGAATTGTCAGTTTTTTTTGTTGAATTGTTTTTAAAATTACCATCTCATATTGCATGGGTAATATAAGTAAAAATGTTTTTCTTGCTGGGCACCGGTGGCTCACACCTGTAATCCTAGCTACTTAGGAGGCTGAGATCTGAGGATCACAGTTCAAAGCCAGCCCAGGCAGGAAAGTTCGTGAGACTCTTATCTCCAATAAACCGCTAGAAAACCGGAAGTGGTGCTGTTGCTCAAGCGGTAGAGCGCTCGCCTTGAGCTGAAGAGCACAAGGACAGCGCCCAGGCCCAGAGTTCAAGCCCCACGACCGACAAAAAAAAAAAGGTTTTCTTTGTAATAAAATCTGAAGGGTTAAACTTTTTATTTTAATTGTTATATGTAATTCTTCAAAACAATAGTCAGGATATTTTCTTAAAAATACATTTTCTTTTTATTATTACAGTAGAACTCATCCCAGGACTGGCAAACAAACAAATAAAATGTAACTCAACTAGCTTAACTGAAGTAGAAATTTCCTGTAAACTGATTTGAAGCATAATTGAGAATTTATAAAAATCAAACATGAAATGAAGCATGGCTTCTATGAGTAAGATATTTGGAAGACAAAGGATGGAGTCAATAAGATTACAGTGAACAAATACATGCATGCCAATAATTAAGAGTTTACCATATATGGTATATGAACAGGTTGATTTCTATATTTCAAAGGAAACAAAAAGGTACAGGAAAAAGAAGATGGAATTTTGAAAAATAAAACCTGGATTCAAGTTCAACTTCTATTTCTTATCACTTGGGTGTTAGCAACTACAAAATAAACTTGTAATAGACTTCTATAAATTTAGAAAATGAATAAAATGATAAAAACAAATCAAATGAGATAATGCATGCAAGATCCAGTAGCACTTTTAACAACTGGCAGTGTTTTTTTTTTATTGTATATGTATATCACAATCTGTACTAGGGATAAACATTTAGTTTGTCTCCAATATTTTGCCCTTCCAATGTGCCTTTGAAAATATTTCAGCATGTATGTCTACAAATAACCACATACTGTTAGATTACAGGGATGAATATAGTCAAGTATTTTCAAATTACTCTCCAAATAGTGGTTTCACCAATATGCATTTCTACTAGCTGTATCTTTTGTTTTGTTTTGTTTTTGGTGCCAGTTGTAGGGCTTAAACTGTGTGCTGTTCCCAAGCTTTATTTGCTTAAAGCTAGCATTCTACCACTTGAGCCACAGCTCCACTTCCAGTTTGTTGGTTGTTAATTGTAGATGAGTGTCATGGACTTTCTTGCCTGTGCTGGCTTTTAACCATGATCCTCAGATCTCTGCCTCCTGAGTAGCTAGAGTTACAAGTATGAGCCACTGGTGCCAGGCTTAACTACATTTTCTTTGCCAACATTTATACTGTTAGCTTTTAAATTTTAAAGAAACATTTACAACCTTTGATATTTAAAAAATAAACTTGCTATAGTAAAGTTCTTAAGTTTTAAAAACTCTCATACAATCATTAACTGTAATAAGCTTTCATATTGTAGATTTGCTTTAATGTAAACAATAGTATTATGAAAATGAGATGGAAGGAAACTTTGGATTGCTTGGCTGTGATAAGATGAAATGAATTCCTATGTGTCTAAAGCACTAAGATTTTACCAAAGCCATCAACTCTTTTAGAAACAATGAACAGAATGAAATATCAGAGAAATAAGTTTTTAGCTGTAGTAAATGATAGCTGGATCAAGATAGAAATGGACTGCTATAAGATCACATAGTTGGTTCAGGTGATCCTTGAATTTTAGTTGCTAGACTTAGCATAAAGCAATAATCAATTCTCTGATCTGAAGACAAGACAAAACAAAAACAATAACAACAAAACCAAACAGACAAGAGATGGTTTAACTTGCTGTTACTGTTGGGATATAAGTACTCCCCCAATTTTTGGGGAGGCTGTGAAATCTTTAGGAAGTGGGGCCTACTTGTATGAAATAGGCCCCCTGAGTATCCCTACGAAGATGAAACCTGGTTCCCAGATTTTGCCTTGCCCCATCTCTGCTTCTTGACTGGCATATCAATTGGTCTCTTCTCCCATGGGTTCCCTGGCATGACTAATTGAAAATGAGCTAAAATACTTCCTTTTCTCTTTCATGTGTTCCCATTTGCTATTTGTTCACAACAATGATAAAACTGATTGATTAATACATCTGTAGATAGGTGGTTTTAACTCATGAGGTACTAATGTCTTTCTCAACACAGAATATGATATGGAGAAGAAATGTGTTTGGATGCAAGCTCTATGAGCATCTCTCGAGCACAATTCTCATAACACTGCTTTGTGGGCAATACCATGGACTGTTGTACACTGGTCCTAGTGATATTAAACCTGACTGAGAAAATACGTCATTAAGGAACTGCTTTATAAGAAGCAGGTAAAGAGGAGAAGGAGAATAACAGAGGTGGGGAGACGGACTAGAATACATTGTAGACATGCATGGACATGTCACAACCCTCCCCCCTTATATAACTAATGTATACTAATAAAAATGTTGCTCATTTGTGAAGCCATCTGTTGATGAACTTATTATGCAAAACTGAAACAAGTGCTGAATTTATACCTCATCTTCATCATAGTTTATAAAACTAAAGGCTTTTCTTATACTATTAGACATTACTTAAAAAGAATCTTTGCATTATGGATACATACTTCAAAGGTCTAGAACAAATAGTGAAACTGTTTGTTGGTTTGTTTTTTGGTAACAGGTTCTCACTTTTTCCAAATAATTTTTAAATGGTTATTTTTTCTTTTAATTTTATTAATTAAATTTCTTTATTTATTTTATGTGGTACCAGGAATTGAACCCAAGGCCTCATGCATGCTGGGCAAGCACTCTATCACTTAGCCACATTCTTAACCTTATTTTTTAAATATATTTTTTATTGTAAAGATACTGTACAGAGGGGTTATAGTTACATGAGCAAGTCATTTTTTTTTTAGACTGGCTAGAAACCTTAGGCTCAAGAGTAGCTGGGACTATAGGTATGTACCATCATACTCAGCTGCATGAAAGTTTTATGACAAAGAATACTTAGATGCTACAGAGATATAACAGTACCAGAGGAAAAAAATGTACAGGTAAATGTAGATAACAAGCCAAAGTAAACTGAGATGAAAATGGTCTGCACAAAACTTTAAAACATTAAAAAATTAGAAGGTATTTTCTGAATTGGACTTTTGTTAGAAAAACTACTCAAGACTTCAATTATTTTGAAAAATGAAAAAATAAAAGGCATCATATAAAAACGGAGCTAAAATATTTAACTTACATTGATGGCTGAAGAAGAAGTGGACAAGTTTAAGCCTTCAAGATCAGTGATCACACTTGGAGAGAGAACTGGTGTGGGAAATGAGATTGGAGTAGATGCTGGACTGACTGTAAAAAAAAAAAGTTCAAATTAACAAATGTGCATGAAAATTTAATTCAAATTATTAAAAGCAACATTTTTATTTTGTTAGTAAATCTAATTAAAATTACTTTGATTAATAAATGTATGACAATTCTATTTAACATGTTGATTTAGTCAAGTTATTATCAAGTCATGGCAGTTATGAGTCTTAACTTCCAAAACATAATGGCAAATCCTATAACAAAATAAGAATGTAAATATTCTTTATAGTGATCATTTTTGAAAATTTTTATTATATAACATTTTAGCAGCATTTATCACCCAGAAACTTTACTAGAAAAAAAAGGTGAAGAAACATTTTTCCACTCTAATAATCAAGAATAACATCCTTTGAGAGAGTTCTACAGTTGAGTCACAAATCCTAAATCATTTCTGTATTTCTTTTTCTCTGTTTATAATTAAGAGTCCTGGCTACCTAATTCCCTTCTAGTCATACTTTGTCAGAAAAATTATATTCTAGAAAGAATGTATTACTTATTCTAAAATTGGCATGTACTTGAAAAAAATATCTGTAAATTTGAAAAATCTTTTAATAGTAAGTCTAATCATGTTGCTCACTTGTTTGAGACTTTTCTAAGCTCACACTCACCTCTGAAGGTTCAACTCAAGTGTACTAGGTCCTTAATATGCAGCTACCCTACCAGCTACTCTAGAGACAAAGCCCTCCTTAGTGTACCTAATATAGCTTCTGTGTTCCTTTTTGGTCTCACAAATCTGTAAGGACAGACTTCTATAACTCTGCTTCTCAGATAATATAAATTTGTGCCTTTACATATTACTGTGTGTTTGTGTGTTATGTGCTAGTCCTGGGGCTTGAAATTAGGGTTTAGGCTCTGTCCTGTAGCTATTTTTGCTCAAGGTTAGCTCTCTAGCCACTTGAGTCACAGCTCAACTTCTAGCTTTTTTTTGGTGGTTAACTGAAGAGTCTTATGGTCTTTCCTGCCCAGAGTAGCTTTGAACTGTAATCCTCAGATCTCAGCCTCCTGAGCAGCTAGGATTACAGCTTATAAAAAGAGTAAGAAAGGGGAAAACAGAGAGAAATACACTCGGAGACATAAGAGAGACAGGAAGGACTGAGGGGGGGGGAGAAGGAGGGGAGAGGGAGAGAAAGTGAAGGCAGAAGTGAGAGAAGGGGAGGGGAAGGGAGAGGAGAAACACACAGCCCCAAAATTGTATTACCAACCAGGAAAACTTTTCAATGAATCTTAATACATATACAACTAGGAAAAGCAGAGCTGAGAGTTGGTAGAGGAAGCAATGGTGGTCTTTAGTTCCCCAACCTGCATTTACTTAGTGACTGAAACATTGCCACAAACCCTAAGCTTCCTCAGACTTACATAAAAACCACTGCAAAAGCCATGAAGAGAAGAAGGGAAAAAAGGAGAGAGGGAGAAGAGAAACAATACAAGAGGAAGAAAGGGGAGTGAGGAGGAGAGGGACAAGAGGAAGGGGAAGTGGGGGAGGGAGAAAGAGAGGGAGAAACAGAGATACGTACAGAGACAGGGAGAGATACAAGGAAGGGTTGGGGGTGGGGAGAGGGAGTGAGAGAGAAAGACACAGAGATGTGAATACCACCAATGGGCTAAAAAGGGGCTTTTTAAAAAAGAATGGATCCAGGCTGGGAAGGTGGCTCAGTGGTAGCGTGCCTGCATGCATGAGGCCCTGAGTTCAATTCCTCAGCACCACATAAGCAGGAAAAGCTGGAAGTGGTGCTGTGGCTCAGGTGGTAGAGCGCTCACCTTGAGCTGAAGAGCTGAGGGACAGTGCCCAAGTCCAGAGTTCAGGCTCCAGGACAAAAAAAAAAAGAATGGATCTAATTTTTAGGTAAGGATTGGATTTGCAAAAAGAAAAAGAATCCAGTTAATTATTTGATAAGAGAATATTGTAAATGAAGTGGGAACTGAAAAAACTGAGAGTTGGATTTATCTTCTAAATAAACTATTAAAATCTATGAAACAGGAAGGACATGGTAAATATGGTGCTGTAGGATGATTAATCTGATGGCAGTTTAAGGGACAGACTGAAGGATAGAGGTCAAAAGGACTCAAGAAAGATAACAGTGAGAAAGCTTCAAAGGGTATACATATTAAAGACACTGGCAACTGAGTTACAGGGAGATTAAGACTTACCAAGGTCACAAAAAAGCAAATGGTTGGAACCATTACAGAATTAGAACCTGGTTCTTCTAACCTGGATGGTATATCAAGTTGCCTTTGTACGTAATCTGTGTTTTTCTGATGGGTTCTAAATGCAAGCTTGTTCATAGTTGGTCTGTATATATCCATCTATCCATCCAATCTGCCATCACCTATCTATTCAAAACATCAACTGCTCATACTATAAAGAATAAAACAGTGAAAAAGAAATAACTTCTGATTTCTAGTATGTCTTGGCTAAATTCATCAAAGCTGTGTGGTAGCATACACTTGACACCCCAGCTATGCAAGAAGCACAAATAGGAGGATCTAGTTCTAGGTCAGCCTGGGCATAAGTGTGAAATCCTATTCAAAATTAACTGAAGTAAGAGAACTGCAGGTGTGGCTCAAGCAGTAGAGAGCTTGCTTAGCAAGTACAGGGATCTATGGCCACTGCAAAAAAAAAAAAAAAAGAAAGAAAAGAAACTCACAAATTACATTATTAAAAAAAGCCTTTAATATTGTATTAGAAGACAAAAGTTTTGGTGTGAGAAGTATGTATACACACACATATATGTATATGCAGACAAAGAAGCAAGTGATAAAAGTTATCTTCAGATAACTTTTGGAGGGCAATTGACATATGCTGAGAATTTGAAGCCATATGTCAGAATGTTAAGCCAAAGTGTTCACATTACAAACCCCTTTCCTCCCCTTCCCTCCCCTCCCCTCCCCTCCCCTCCTCTTCCCTTCCCTTCCCTCTCTCTTTTCTTTTCTCTCTTGTTTGGTGCTGGTCCTGGGCCTTTAATTCAGGATTTGAGCCTGGAGCAAAAGAAGCTCAGAGACCAGGCTCAAATCCTATCTACTTACTTGATCACTCAGACTTTCCTCCCTGGCTGTCTTCAAACCATGATCCTCAGCTCTCAACCCCCTAAGTAGTTAGTATTACAGGCAGGAGCCACCAGCACCCAGCTCGTTTTTTCTTTTAAAAAGCTGACTAAAAACTACTTATTTCTTTGCTAAGTATTTTTAGTATAGTAATTATGTGATCATTCTTCTAAGTTTCAACATTTGAGAATAGGCTATATACTCAGTATATCATGGTTTGATACACAGCAAGTTAATGTGTAGTTAATGTAGTCGCCTGCTGTGGCTGTATCCTTCACTGATGAAATGGGGCATCATCATTCACTGTTGTTGTCATCACTGACCCTTATAAAATGCTTGTCATGTCCAAGGTGCACATTTAAAGTGCTTTCACATGTGGCAACACATATAAACCTTTTGAGATGAAATCAATCTAAGAGTATTAGTAAATTTCAGTTTGTACATAAAAGAATAAAGCACAGAGAGGTTAAGGAAGTTATCAAAGGTAATACAGAGAGCATTAACAGAACTAGGATTCGAACCCACATAGCTTAGCTCCATTGTCCTTCTTAGTCACTCCACTCTCCTGTCTAGACCACATTCATTTGTTAATGTAATCTCACAGATTATAAGGTTAGTCAGATAGAGTTACTATTGGCTAGTAGATATTCTAAAAGGCTTCAGTTAGTTGTGCTAGCTATGACATAGGTTATATTTTTAAAAACATGACTGATGTTTTATGGTCATCTTACTGAGATCAAATGTATAGAGTACTAAGGTACTGAAAGATATTATAATTTCCAGCACTTAAAAAAAAATACTTGAGGGCTGGGAAGGTGGCTCAGTGGTAGAGCGCTTGCCTTGCATGCATGAGGCCCTGGGTTCAATTCCTCAGCACCACATAAGCAAAAAGAAAAAAGCCAGAAGTGGCACTGTGGCTCAAGTGGTAGGGCACTAGCCTTGAGCTGAAGAGCTGAGGGACAGCGCCCAGGCCCAGAGTTCAGGCCCCATGACTGGACCCAAAAAAAACCAAAAAACAACTTGAAAACAAAGGAATTGCTACCTTTAGTCATATATTATCCTGGCATAAATATTTTCTCATGTATTATCAGATGATATCCACAAACTTCAGTAAGTTAGAGAGATACTTCTGACCACGACTTTTATTTGGTCCAGCATACCTTCTCCCACTCTGTCCTGTTGCCACCAATTGTGTAGATAATGCAAGACTTACACTTATACCAGAGGCCAAGGACTGTAAGAACTCTCTGCATCAATGTCTCTCATTTAATCTATAATGTGGCAATCTTACTGCTAACATTATGGTCTGATATGAAGTGTCCTTCACAGGATCGTATCTTAAAAACTTGGTACCCAGCTCATGGCACTATTTTGGGAGGTGCTTTGGAAGCATCAGTTGATAGAGCCCAGATGAAGAAAGCAGGCTAAAGTGTTTGTGAGGACAGTCTTTGAAGGGTACCCTGTCCTTGACTCTTTCCTGTCTTTGTGTTTGGTTCCTAGCTGCTATGAGGTGAATAGCTTACTCCTCCACACATTCTTACTGGCAGGATGTGTTGCCTCACTTCAGATCCAAAGTAAGGGAATTGGTAGACTACAGACTGAAACGTCTGACACCATGAGACAAAATGAATATTCTATCCTTCAAAATTTTCTCTTAGGATTTGTCACAATGACAAAAAACTAACACACTCATTTACCTGTTCTCTTTTTACTCTGAGATCTCCTTTGGCAGGGACCCTGTTATTTAGCATCACTAGAATGTAGATTACCTACCTGGAAAATATTTTGTGAATAAAGAAATGGTCAATTTTAAAATCTGCAGTTTTTTTTTTCTGGTATGCAGTATATATTAAGCAAAAAACAAAAGGAATGTGTCTGCTGCTCTCTTCAAGATTGAAATAACCCTTACGAGCTGAGATCTCAGCCAGGATGGAGTACAAAACTACCTTGTGTGTACTCAACAGACTAGAAAGAAGTCAATAGAGCCTTATACGTATGTTTAACTCAACTCAGCTCAGACTTCTTTCATAGATCTTTGTAGCTTAAAATTTTTGTTGTTGTTGGTACTGGAACTCAAGGCTTTTTGTTGTACTCAGGGCTTTATACTTGCTTGGCTAACTTGTTCACCTGCCATTTTACCACTTTTGCCATACTTCCAGACAAGTGTGTCTCTGATTATTTTTGGAAATGGAGTATTGTGGACTTTTCTGCCCAAGCTGGTTTTGAACTATTTTGTGAATTAATTAATTAAGTTACTTATTTATTCCTGTCCTGCGGCTTAAACTCAGGGACTGGGTACTGTCCTTAAGTGTTTTTGCTCGAGGCTAGTGCTCTACCACTTGGGCCACAGATCTACTTCTGGCTTTTAGGTGGCTAACTGGAGATTAGTCTCAATGGTATTTCCTGCCCAGGCTAGCTTAAAAAGTGATCCTTAGTTCTCAGCCTTCTGTATACCTAGGATTACAGGTTTCAGCCCAGTTCCTTTGTAGATTTTTAGTGGGTGTTTGTCTCCTTCTGGTTCTTAGCATACTTTGGATCTCTATTTTTTTCTGATATAATAAAGGTGTGTGTGTGTGTATATATATATATATATATATATATATATATATATATATATGAATGAATATATGTAAATGTACTGATTCATGTTATCTGGTTCTGAGATTGGCTTTTTAATTTCTGCAAGAGAATGACTAAATTCTATTTATCTGTAAGGGTACCTAGTAAAGAACCTTGCACTTAGAGGACAATTCATCTATAAACATTTGCTGAACTGACTTGTTAAAAAGGAATTTTCAAGTGTCATTTCTGACAAATGTAGATCTATAAAAAAAAATTATTTTTCAATAATTTTTAACTCACAGGTATTAACAATAAAGATGTATACACTACTTAAGACACATACATATATTTAAAAATTGCTTTAAAATGAATTAAATTCTTAATTTTTTAAAAGAGACCTTTGTTTCTATATAGAAAAGTGTATTAAATCAATTATGTATTTTTCAGGTTTCCATTATTTACATGTTTAGTATCATTTACTTTCAATATTAAAATAAATTCTGCAGTTTATAAATCCCTACTCCAAGATAATTTGTTAGTATTAAGTAGACTATGTAGCAGTAGTAACTTGAGAAGCTGCCATCAGAGGGTCTGGGGACAGCATTCTTAGTAGAGAACAGTAGGACAGAGGTCTTGGCAGGAGCAATACTGATATGTTTGAGGAAAATAAGAAGCAGATAGTTTGAATAGAAGATAAGAGGCAGTAGGAGTCAAGCATCTATGATCTTAGAAACATAGGAAAGGAGCACAAAATTTAATCTAAATGCAGAATTAAGCCATTGATTTAAAGGTTTTAAAAACAAAGAAGCATTATAGAATTGTAATCACTTTATACAATGATTTAATAATAATTTTCAAAAACATATAAATTCGGAAATGGTGTTCAGAAATCATACAATGATGAAGAGAACAGGCAATTGGCCTCCAGTGCTCCTCTCTACTTCTCAGGATCCGTTATCTTCAAACTTTTCTTTGAAATATGCCATGTCTATCTACCACAGTCATGTACAATGCTGACCCTACAGAAGACACAGATTCAACCTTGTCCTTGGCACTGAAGATTTTACCCATGGGAATGGTATCAGATAGAGCAATGTGATCCATACCATGAGAAAGAGATGAATTAAGTGCTGACTTTCAGACCTGAAAGGCCATGAAAGGCACAGGAGCTGTAAATATCAGTTAAGCGTTCTTATTGAATTCCAAGGGCCATAGACAAGGCTCTGGCATAGTTTCCACACTCCAGCTAATAACCATAAGGCCTTTGCTATCTATGTCTACTGATTTTGGTTAGAGGGAGACTGCCCAATTCTTGCTCTGGTTTCAATTCAACACACTGCAACACATCAGTGTGGAGAAGGCACTCCATGGGATGAAGTCACAATTTGTGTCTTTAAGAGACATGGAGAGAATAGCAAATAAGATCAGACAGACACCTAGAACTACAATGCAGTGTACAGGACAAAGAGTTTTGATCCTCTTAATGGAGTTCCACCCCTCCCATAAGCTTCTCAAGGATGGCAACCAGGCTTTCCTCACCTCTGCATGGTCTGGATCCAGCTTACTGCCAAACACATGCTATACATTTATTAGATGAATGATGCACAATAAATGAATAAACACACAAAAAAGGGAGGAATAAGGCCTGACTTTGTAGTACAGTGGCAAGATAAATTTCCAGAAAATAACTTCTAAATTAAAGGGTACAGAATTTAAACTTTATAGATGCTGCTCAAATAATTAAAAAAAAGCTATTTACATTCCTATGAGGAACATATATATGATATCTGTTTCTCCAAACCTTAGCAACACGTATGATACTAAACAAAATTTTTGCAAATATATAAAATGATTCAAATTCAGATACAAAATTTCATTATTGAGACTGGGACTCAGTGATTCATGCCTGAAATCTAAGCCAGTCAGAAGGCTGAGATCTGAGGATGACAGTTTAAAGCCAAATTAGGCAGGAAAGTCCATGACTCTCATCTCTCTTTATTCATCAATATCCTCCCTCCCCACTCAAAAAAACCTAAAAAATACAAAACGAAAACTTAAAAGTGGAGCTGTGGCTCAGGTGGTATAGTGCTAGCCTTGAGCAAATAGCTCAGAGACAGAGCCCAGACCCTGAGTTCAAACTCTTGGACTGGCATGCGCGCGCGCGCACGCACACACACACACACACACACACACACACACACACAAATTAATTGTACAAAATTTTCATCAACACATATAATGTTCTTTGATCATTCTACTCAGTCTCCCTGTTATATCCACTTACTCCTTTTTACCAGTACTTTCCTTGGTCCTAATAGTTCCTGCTCTACTTCATGATCTTCCCTGCCCACTAGATGCCACATATGAGAAAACATGTAATATTTCACTTTCTGATTACAGTTTATTTCATTTAACATGATGATCTCAAGTTCCATCCATTTAGAATTCATATGGGATCTATTTCTCCAAACCTTAGCAATAATGGTGATACCAAACTTTCTTATATTAACTATTTCTTGGTATTATACATTTTAATTACTTGTTACTAAGAATTTTCCCTGGCTATTAGAGATAGGCCAAGGAAACAATACAACAGATCAAATCAAGGCAGACTGAGACAACCTAATAATACAACTCACCCTCTGCATGGGAAAGCAACACTGAAAATTGATGGCAGTTTAATATTCCTGAAAAATTACTTGTTGTCATTTTCTCTTAGTACAAAATCTCTCTAGCAATAAGTTAGTTTCATTACCTAGCTCTCTCAATGCTGAGTGAATCTTTGTATGCTTGAGTAAGTATATTTGTAGGATTCTTAATTCTTAGAAACAGACTTATAGGGACAATATTTTTTCTTTTTGAGGTAAAATATTTGCATGTATAGATTAACTGACAGACAAAAAATTATTACTCATTTCCATCCCAACCAATATTGTGACAAGTGGAAGATACTGATGTTCTTTACATTTCTCTACTTTCTTTGTTCCCTACCTACCTCCACAGGTTATGTGTGTGAGATCATACAAGCAACATTTCACAAAGCAAAAACTATAGGATATTCAGTAAGGCAAATATAAAGTACCAAAGTAAAGGACTTCCAACTTAATTTGATATACTTTATTTGGTCACCTGTATTTGTCCATATGACATAGAGCTGATATGCTGAATAAATAAGAGATACTAATAGCGCTAATTTCCAAAAATTATCTTGCCTTATTAATTGGTATGTCTTTCACAACAGATGTTGATAAAATTTTATATATGTAAATAAAAGTAACTAGAAAAACATTTTTAAAAAGTAAATGCAGAAGAAAAAATTTAAATTATGATACTTACAATCATCTAGATCTAGAAGTGAAATATCTTTGGTTAGAGGATTTCTATCTTGTTGACCTTTTTTTCCTTTTTCCTATAAAATAAAAACAACTCATTTACATGATATTTTCCTTAAAAATGTATAAAGCACCCTAAGCATTACAAAATGAACATTTTTCCCCCTTTCAATTTTCGTGCCAGTCTTGGAGCTTAATATCAGAGCATGGGCCCTTGTCCCTGACCTTGTTTTTGTTTTCTCAAGGCCAGTACTCTACCACTTAAGCCACGGTTCCACTTCTGGCTTTTCTGGTGGTAAACTGGACATAAGAGTCTTACAGACTTTTCTGTCCAGGCTAGCTTTGAATTGTGATTCTTAGAGTTCAGTTCCAAGTAGCTAGGATTACAGGCACGAGCCACCAGCACCCAGCCTTCTCTTTTTAGTCTTAGAAACAAAGTAAGATTTTTGTATGGGGTTACATGAAATGTGTTTCTAAATCAAAATTCCTGCCTCAACGTACAGTATTTTGTCTTCATTATACAGACTTAATTATTTCAAACATTTTTATGTTTAAAAATTGTAAAGATCTTTAAGGTGATAATTTAAAATTAGGGCTTCTTCCACATAAGATTTGTTTATCCTGTCTACTACATATATGAAAACCCATATTACCATGAACTAGAATACAGTGCCCCAAGCACTGTACCAATTAATACCAATTAATGTTCATACTTTGGTTATACACTCAGAAAAGATTTACAAACTTAGGAAAGTATAATTAAGTATACAGCTAAGTGGAGTTGTAAACAAGTAAAGATCAATCAAGAATAGGGTGCTGAACAAATATTACTATCAAACAGATTCTGTGCTTAACAATGGAAATAAACAAGCAAGGCAGACATAGTCACTGGCCATGTAAAGCCTGTTGTTTTTAAAAAGAATTAATGCAAAGATGCTATACAGAGCAGTTAGTTCCATGAGTAAGGCAATGAGTACCTTTCTTGTTACTCCTTTGCTTTTCCTCCACTATCCTTTGCCTCCACCCCTGCTACCCCACCCAAAGTTGTGAAAGTTCATTTCTGACCTAAGCATCTTGTGAGTATTGTTGTTGCAATGGGTCATCCTTTGTCCTTGTTTCTGCATTTTGTTATTCCTTTCCCTTCCCCAAATCAGATAAATGTATATACAAGATGCAGATACCAGAATCAAGGACAGTGATTACCAGGGATAAAGCCTATTGCTAATGTAAATTATTACAAATATTTTTGAAGTATCCCTGTACACTGAAAAAAAACTGCTGACGCAAAGGATACATTACCATCACTTAGTCTGCCCAGTGTTGGAACTCCTACACCAGTGCTCATATAGAAGTATGAGTAGTACATAAAATTATATGGTTTATGATACTTTTTTTTTTTGGTGCTGGGTCTGGGGCTTAAACTCAAGGGCCTAAGCACTGTCTTTGAGTTGTTTTGCTCAAGGATAGTGCTTTACCACTTAGGTCACTGCTCTACTTCTTAAAATACTTTTTACTTGATTCAAATTCTGCTTGTTTTATTCGTTATGCCACTACTCAGAAAATTATCTTCAAGGATCATGTAATAATCTACAGTAAAATATTTATACAGATTAGCACCAATATTCTCCCTCAGGATAATTTTTTTTTTTCTGGTCCTGAGGCTTGAACTCAGGGTCTGGGTGCTGTCCCTAAGCTTCCTTTGCTCAATGCTAGGCTCTACCATTTGAGCCACAGTGCCATATTTTTTTGAATAGTTTAATGGAGATAAGATTCTCATGGACTTTCTTTCCCAAAGCTGGCTTCAAATCATGACCCTCAGATCCCAGCCTCCTGAGTAGCTAGGATTAAAGGCTACCAGTATCTGGCATCCTCAGAATAATTTTTATCTGCCACTAAAATCTAAAGAGCTTAGCTAGGTTTTAATTTTCATTCTTTATCTAAAAACAAAGAAGTATTTGCCTTTACTCATCAAAGGAATAATAATATCTAGGGCTAAGGAGAAAAAGTAGAAAAAAATGTTAGTTTTGAGGCTGAAATTTAAGAATCACAAGTTAGTAAAAACAGTATCAGAATGAAAAGGCCATTTCAACTAGAATATCACTCTTGTGAAAAAGAATGTATAACAAAATGCTGTATTGAGCACAATGGGTATAGCTTCCTATAAGCTACAATGGTGCATGACTGTTTTTATGGAACTCTAACTTCCCCACCTGAAAAATTAGAAACCTATGAAATCAAGATAAAGTTAATGCTGAAGGCAAGTCTATACCTTATTTTCTACTTCACAGCCAACAATGTATAACACTATCTATTAAATACCCATCAGGTCACATACAACACAGAAGAGAGCTGCATGTGAAATTGGCATAATCTCTATTAGAAGGCTAGAAGAGAAAGACAAAAGGCTTTCAAAAAGACAGAATTTCATTGACTTTCTGAGAACAGCAAATAACCAGTGACTGAAATACAACATTAGCAACAGATAATGGTCATTTCTACTGAATTGAAAAAGCCTTGCATTCTGAATCAAGGCTATAAAATGCTTCATAATGTGTTTGGTATTCCTCCCTTATATTTCATTTTCACTTAAAAAATCCATAGTAAGTTCAAAATATTTTCACACTTAAAAAGATCTACTATAAAAATAAAAATCTGAATTCTAAACAAAGAAGTTAAGAGCTCTATTCTATCAAACATTTTTCCATTTGCGATTCATCTTGGTAATAGAGACAGAACCTGGGTAAATGCATATAGGACTTGAGGCAGGAGATTTTTCTTGCTCAATGCATAATTCATGTGCTCCGCCTGCAAAGTGTGTAAAATGAGAATTTCACACCGCAGCATGAGCCATGGAGCTGCAGAGAAAAGGCAGATGAAATCATATTTTACTGTGTGAATTTTATTTCTAACCTCCCAATATTTATACAAAACCATCATTGACAAACCAAATACATTGACAGATCACCCACTGTTTCCATTGTGTTAGTACTTGAGAAGAGATCAGGCAGAAAGATAGACAATTTGTTTTTGTATATTTTTTAAAAATAGAGGATCAGGTTTTTAACAGCTGAGTGATTGTATTAGACTTTTATAAGGACAACAGTAACTGATCTTAAGATCTCACTACAGAAAAATGCCTATTTATCAATTCATCATCCTCAAAACTCCATTTTGTCTCTATGGTGTTCAATTATACACCTCAACACATCAACATTTCCAAAATGAAATGAAATACAGAGTCACAGGGTTAAGAAATTGATTTCTATTTATGTATTTTATTTCAAATCATAAAAAATCATACAAATATCTGTTAAATTACAAATAATACAAACATAAATGTAACAATATGTAAATTTATATATATTACATGTTAATTTTCATATTAATTAAGTAAAAAAAGATCCAACAAGAATCATGAGGCTTTTATTATAAAGAGGTTTGAGATTTAAAACGATAAGACAGGGCAAATAGAACATAAAGTTCATCAAACCCATACTATGCTTTGAAATCTAAACAATTTAAGACTAATTTCTGGCCTCAGGGGGTGAGATATCTGCTTGAAATATTTTCAATTAGGATTACCCACCAAGGGCAATTTAATGACTCTCTTCTCTTCAAATAATCTGTCAAATTTGATTTAAAAGTCCGAAGCTCACACTTAAACTTGCACCTTAAAACAAAAGTACAAAGCCAGCAAACTAAGACTTCTTTAATTAAAGGCAGTTTAAATGATAAAACAAATATTCCCTTATTTGAATTATTTGAATTATATCTACATTAATAATAAGGCTTGCTAAACATCACTCCCTTCTAAATCTAAATTGAAATCAAATGATATTTTTATTTTGAAAAATATGAAATAAACAAGGAATGACAACTTGATGAGGCAAAGCTTAGTTTTCTGAGAGTAAAACCCAGTATTTTCATTAATCCTAGAAGTTATATAACTGCAACATACATAATGCTTCAAAGCATAAATTTAAAATTTATTTCTTATTTCTCAAATAGAATCAAAACCAGGAAACTGACATTGAGATGCTAGTGATCATACAAGAGCACTTCAGAGATGTCATCAGTTTCTCTATACCTCTCAAGAGCCAGTAGAGTTGTTAGATATATAACATGAGACAATGACCACACATTCACAACTTCCAGGAATATTTAGATGGTAGTTCACATATTAATCTTATGATTCAGATATGGAAATATTCTTAATAGTAGATGTTAAATGCAAATACACTTACTGCCTTATTTCATACATTATACTTTATATGCAGTTAACGTAAAACTAAAATGTTAATAATAAAGGAAAATAGACAAGTTATTCACAATAAATTATAATCATGATTTAAAATTATGATTGCATTTATCATGAATTATTTCAATCTTCAGGAACTGTTATAGATAAAATTAGAATGTGCACCACAGTAGGAACACTCTAACATGTGGGTTATTTTTAAGAGACACTGAAGCACAGGTTCAATAGAGGAGAAGACCTGAAAAACTTCAAAAACATCATTTTGAATGATTCTACCATCTGTTCAACACATACTTTAAATACCAACAGAATATAACTTAGCTATATTGGTAAAAAACAGGATTTATTCATATAAATTTCTCTTTTTCAGACATGGGAATGTGTCTACATTATTAATCTTTCTCTTTTATAAAATGATTTTCCTTTCGAACTGTAAAATATGTGAAAGCACTTCAAATGAGAACTGTTCTTGCTATAGGTGTTATTTGAAGCAAGATAATTATTTGATTAAAAAGTACTGTGCTCAAAATGCCTCTCAAACATACTTCAAAAAGGAATACCTACACATAAAATGCATGTTAGTCTATCAAAATAACTATAACTGAAACAAGATAATTATTGTGGTCATTTTTGACAATATCTGAAATCAAATGAGAATGTCTCTTAATCAATAAATAACACAAAGGACCAATCATAAAGCCTAACTGTTGACTACAGTTTTGTGTCTTATAGATATACTGAGGCATTAAATAACAAACAATTTAGGAACAATCAATCCAGTAAGGTTCTACCCACTTTCTACTGTCCCTGCACCATTCACATGAGTGATTCCCTCTCATCAGTAATCGTTCATTCCTTACAGTCACTGTCAACTAAGAAAGGTGGAAGCACCACACTCTGGCATGAGACTACTTTCTCCTCAGCTTGTATTTTCTACAGTAAGAATCGGGCAATTGCATAGAAGGATGGGCTGGAAAAGCATTTGTCTAAGGATGGCTAAGACAAAGGGGCTATGAAAGTAAGAAAGGTGGACACAGAATAGTCAGAGTGGGACAGGAAGAAACAGATATGAGGAATCACACATAGAATCTAGAGGACTTGCAACCATTATTTCTTCTGCAAAAAGAATATTGCAAACAAATGAGACAAACAAATGAGACAGCATGTCTCTTGTACTAGTTTATCAAACCAGTAGTGCCAAAAAGGCCTAAAAATCTGGTCTGAACATAGAAAAACTGAAATTGTAGAAACTGATTTTACTATGGAAGTAATTTAATGGGAGCTACAGTTGTGAAATGCTATTTCACTCCCCTTCCTCTCTTTCAATGTTAGAAAAGATGGGTACATTGGATAGCAAAAGAAGAAACAGTAAGACATTCAAGTACAAAGGAGACAGAAGGTAGATGACTATCTTAATTAAATGAATAAGCTCACATGCTGCAACTAAGGGATCACAACTGAAGACTGACTTAAAACTTAAATGGTGAAAAAGTAAAAATTACAGGACGCAAAGACTGCAAAAAAGAAAATTAAGTTCCTTTTTGCATTGGTATGCTATCAGTATAATACTGTTGATCTTTCATGAAATTAATATTCAAATTAAAAAGTGATAAAAATTTTTTATAGTTTTTTTTTTTTACTGCTCTTTCACATTTGATTTTTTAAAAATAAAGTGGATATCAGCATTCTACTTTATAGATGAGCAAACTGAAACATAAAAATCTTATCTCCAAACAAGTAGAATACTCTACTTATTTCACAGGACCATTATAAAAACTGTTTTGAAAGCCATATAATCAAAGTACCTCCAAAGTCTCATTTTCATGCTCAATGCCCCCCAAGTATATCGTCCAAATGAAAGAAAAAGAGAAAAAGTATAGATTTAGTTAGGTTGTAGATTTAAGGCATATGAATTTTCAGCACCAACACACTGTCATGCTAAATTATGGTAAAGCACCCACCATCTGCCTTCATTACTCATAATTTGTAGCAGAAGCTACAACACTTGGGGCAAGGAGGACTTTTCCACAATTGTAGATTATTGGAAAACTGATACATTGCAATCATATGGTATACCCCAAATCATTTTAAAAAAAGCAGAAATAATTATGGTAGCTTCAAAGTGAAGACTATTTCAATTTCATATATTAATGCAAAATAAACACAAAACAACAACAAAAACCAAAAAATCTAAGAACAAAAAGAAAAGAAAGGAATGACCAACTCTTTCTGCCTATCATAGATGGGAAAAGACCCTCTAATACAGAGAAAATAATTTATCTGAAGAAAACAAGTAGACACAAAATCATCATCAAGCTATGGCCTGAGTTTTTGAAGGTTCTTGCTCATTGCAATGCCTCTAACTTTTACAATGATGTTCTACAATGTTGTACACTAATTAAGAGATTTACTTTTATCACTGAAATGTTTAAAAAGAAGAAACAACTGAATTGCTGATTTAAAGTGCCCCTGTGATTTAATAAGTACCTAAAACTAAATAGGCACTAAGTCCACCTTTTTTCAACTTTTGAAAAACCTTTTAAGAATAACTATTTGTCATTCTTGGTATTTTTGCTGTAATGTTTTAAAACTCGTATTTTATTTGGATTATATTTGTTGTCAGCATCCAAAGTAGTTTATGAATTTTTCCTCTTTTGTTGTCAGTTTTTTGTTTGTTTTTCTATTTGATTATTTTTTTAGGCTGCTTGAGGCTGAATTCCAATGTGACCTTCCTTTCCTCAGGCTCCTGAGTAATGGGATTATAGGCATGACCTACAACTCAGCTAATATATTCTCTAAGTTTCAATTCTAGTATTTTCTAGTCTCAAGAAAAACTGTGAATTTTTAAAGTAAATAGAAAATGAGGATATACTAAATTAACTGTGAGATAAGTTTTAATATGAGGCCAGTCAATAAATCATAAAATCTCTTACGTGAATTTTGGAAAAACAGAAATCTTAAAATTCTGTAGCACATATATCCAAGTTTAAATATAAATTTAACTATAAAATAAGTTCTGATATATGAAAGAATATTCCAAATAAGGTAAGAAAATCACTAGTCATATTTTAAATAAATATGCTTATTCTTTTACAATAAATCTCTAGATGGAAGGGATTATGTTCTTTAATGAATTTATATTCATACTAATCTACTCAGATGCCATTCTGAAAAAATTCAAATTTCACAAAATAAATAGATGAAAAAAATACTGGGTTAGATGTCAGACATTGGTGGCTCATCTCTGTAATCCTTGCTACTTTGAAGACTGAGATTTGAAAATTATGGTTTAAAGCAAGCATAAGCAACGAAGTCCTTGAGATTCTTATCTCCAATTAACCACTAAAAAGCCAAAGTGGAGCTGTGGCTCATGTAATAGAGTGCTAGCTATCCTTGAGCACAAAAACTCAAGGACAGAGCCAGGCCTTTAGTTCAAACTCCAAAAACAGAGTTAGGAAGAAACTGATTTCCATTAAAGTAAATCTATGATTATTAATTTCAACACATAGAATAATAAAGTTTACATATAAAGTTACTATACTTGAAGTCAGTGTTATCTATTTGCCTAAAAGGGATGATGATTTGAGATTAAAAAGATAATTATTATGAGTCTAAACTTTACATTAATAGCTTCATTTAAAAACACTACATATTTTTACTATATGTATGTGTACATATGTATTTTGGTGGGTGGGTATGGAACTAGGATTTGAACTCAAGACTTGCTGCTTTCAAGGCAGGTATTCTACCACTTGAGCCATGTTATTTTTGAAGTAAAGCTTTGTCTTAAGCCTGGGCTGGCCTAGGCTGTGACTGTCCTACTTATGCTTCCCCATGCTGCTAGGGATGTCAAGTGTGAGCCAACACACTGAGCCACTGTGTCTCCCTTATACCTGGGACAACAGGTGTGTGCCATTACACCCAGCCACTGGCAGAAATGGAGTTTCAAGAACTTCTTTTTGCATGGGCTGGCCTTTGAACCACAAGTCTGTGATCTCTATCACCCCAGTATCTAGGATAGCAAGCTTGAGCCTAATGTCCCTAGCTACATACACTTTTATATAAAAAAAAAAGTTCAGTGTTACAAATGTTGTATAAATAGCACTATTATACTATAAGTTGATTGTTTAACTAAATGGCTACTGAATTTCTGATTTAAATAATATACCTTTTAAAACTTTAAAAAACATTCTATCATCCAATAACATTATTAAATGTCTAATACTTTACAAAGCATATTGGTTATTTTTTAAGCATTTAAGTTCTTTTGTTCAGCAGTATTTCTGCAACTTCCTTTCACTTTACTTTTAGCAAAAGTCTTCTTATCACAACCTAACCAAAAGTTTTAGTGGCCACAAGATGAACTCAAAATCAATCCTAAATTTTTCTGTAGAGCTGAGTTATAAAGGAAAGGTTTATTTAGGGTTTTAAAAAAAAAATCACACAAGAAGGTGGCTCAGTGGTAGAGTGCTTGCCTTGCATGCATGAGGCCCTGGGCTTGATTCCTTAGTACCACATAAGCAGAAAAAGCCGGAAGTGGTGCTATGGCTCAAGTGGCAGAGTGCTAGCCTTGAGCTGAAGAGCTGAGGGACAGTGTCCAGGCCCAAAGTTCAGAATCACAACCAACAACAACAACAACAACAAAAAAAAAAAATCAAAGGAATGGGAAAATAATGGTGACATTTTTTAGTCTACTTGTTAGTAACTTAAATGTTAGTAAACAAATGTTAACTTTTGTTTTAGTTTCTTGGTTTTCAACAAAACATTAAATTTTCGATAATATGTATGCTTAATTGTAAAAGGTACACCTATTTACCTTTGATTATAATAAATGTGCCATCTCGGGCTGGGAAGGTGGCTCAGTGGTAGAGTGTTTGCCTTGCATGCATGAGGCCCTGGGTTCGATTCCTCAGCACCACATAAGCAGAAAAAAAAGCCGGAATGGCGCTGTGGCTCAAGTGGTAGAGAGTTAACCTTGAGCTGAAGAGCTGAGGGACAGTACCCAGGCCCAGAGTTCAGGCCCACGACTGGACCCAAAAAATAAATAAATAAATAAATAAATGTGCCATCTCTTACCTTAGTGACTTTTCTGGAGTCAGAGTCACTTTCAGATTCTGATTCTGATTCAGAATCTGAGCTTTCTTCTAAACTAGATTCAGCATCAGAAGAATCTGAAGTTTTAGGTGTCTCATTTTGCTTCTCGCCATCCTCTAAATCACTATGCATAAAAATAAATTTTGAAATAAGAACTATAAATCTTTTATGCAGACAATACAATAGTTTTGAAATTCTTGAACATCTAATGTAATAATTATACAGGAATTCATTGTAAACAGAATCATTTCAAATACAAAAAGTTATATGATACCACTAATTAACATAATTTCCAACAATACAGAAAATAATATAAAATGTTTGATCTACTAGATGTTGTGTTAACATTAGCATCCACAACAGTATGCTTTTACAATGTTGTTTCTATATACAAACTGTTTCTTGATAAATATTTGTATGTTTACTTTCGCTAAAACCAACTGTATTTGTAGACTTTTTCTGTCCATAAAAATTATTTATACAAGGTCCCACATGTGACTTGAATTATATTATATTAAAACACCAATTCATTCAGAGAATCAATTTTTTATTTAATTAGCTGGCCTGAAACTTACATTCTTCTTGCCTCTGCCTTATGAGTGCTGAGATTATATGTTATGGTCTAAAAACCTCAGCTATAAGAGGATTCTTCTAATGTATTAAATCTTACTAAAAATGTAAGATAGTTAAATAATTTTTTTAATCACACCTAAGTGCTTAACACATTTGTTCATTATTTCAACTAATATTTATTAAGTAAAAATACTAGCACTACATTATGTACTCAGGCTCACAAAGGCTAGTCTAATATAGGTATCATTGTATGTCTGCCCAGAATGTCTGTAGTCCATTGGAAGATGAAGAAAAGTATGGTGGCAGTGACAATACAGTGTAAGTAATAAGTAAGAAAGTATGGTGTGTCTATCATGAGAACACTTAAAGGAGGATACCTAAATAAACTTAAGGTGAACTGGGGAGTTCTACAAAAAGAGAAGTAACATATGAGATGGTCAACCAAATTATCTTAGGGACATGATATACTTTGAAGTGCTTTATATTCTCCTCCCCCCAAAAATTGAAAATCTAGTTCTAGAGTTCTTTCTCTATCTCCCCACCACCCCCCTCTCTTACTTCGTGAGCATGTGTTTAAGAATCTACCTTGGAGAAGCAATGCTAGGCATTTCATGCCAATCATACCAATTATCTAATTTAGGTGCTCTCTTCCTAGGTGCATTATTATCCTGATTACAATAATGAGACTGATACTTAAGAAGGTTAAATAATTTGCTTAAGAACACAGAGATAGGAGGAAAAAAAGTAGAATCTGAACTCACATCTAAGTCTGAAGTCTGCTTTTCTCCCCATACCATACTATTTTCCTTCATGTGAAAATACTTGGACATATAAAATTCAAATTTAGCCATGAATAGTGAACAATTACTAAAGATATGTTACTGTTATTAAGAGCTTTAAATATTATACTGGCAATGTTAAGAAACAGGAAGAAATGTTAAGAGACAGGCAGAAAGATACAATAGGGAGAGAGAGTGGTAAGGCAAGGGAAGAATCGATATTTCTCAGAATTGATTTTTGTGGAGGAAATATGATTGCTGTTTATTAAAAATGGAGCCATGGCAACATCTCAGAGAACATGTAATTATATTTGAAGACTAAAAAAAAAATGTTGCTTTTTTCCCCAGTTGCAAAGACTGGCAAATTTATTATTCTCAATTCACTGTTTAAAGCATGTACTTACAAATATATGGGTTTAGAATGTACTTGCAGTTTTCTTTGGTATAACAAATAATTGTTTTTAATTAAAATGTGTGAAGATAAAAGTGCATTTTTTGAAGAAAAATATAAAGTAGCTAATATGTGCTTATAAATTTCTAACATAAATGACTTCTGCTGTTTGCAAAGTTATTTAATGTATTGATAAAAAAAATTTTCCTTTCTAGAACCAGGATACTTTTATAAATCACATCTTGGTACTCTGATGTTAAGCTAGTATACAATTTTCCTCTTAAAGAAGCCTATTACAAACCAACTAGCTCCTTTGCTGCAACAAGTCAATGAGTCTATATTTAGCTTCAAGCATTTAAGATAAGATTTTTAAATGTAAAAGTGTTATTTTATTATATATCACTCAATTTTGATGGTAATTATTGTTTACCTTACTGCTTAGAGTTTCAGATGTTAATCTAATGAAAAGAATTTACTGGTAACTAGGTTTTTAACTTTGCAATGATGAAAAGCCTGTATTAATTTAACCTACAGATTTCATTTGTTCTGAACAGGAAAAACAATATAAATCACTTTTAAAATCATTAAATCCTGACTTAAATTAATAAAGTCATAATTAGGGCATTATGCTGTGTTTGTTATGGAAGTGGCAGGGCGAGCTGCTTTAATTACTGTCTGTAATAAAAGGAGCAGAGAGCGTACTGCGCCCCAATCAGTGCTGTCAGCCACGACTGAGCCCAAGCTGCAAGCTCATCAAGTGAGCGGGCAGCAGACTGCAGGGAAAGGGCCATCATGCTGGCAGAGGCCACTTGCTGACAGCAATGGGGGAAAACAGAGCCACACAATCCAAGGTATTAGCCCCAATCACTCAAAATTTTAATGACACTTTAATGCAGGATAATGTTGTTGATAATGGGTGATCCTAGAAAGAGCTAATACTTAACTATCTTATGACCGTCTTCCTTCACAGCCTTTGGCACTTAATATTTGGATCATAATCTTTTAATGTAACATTATTTAGAAAAATCAATTGTCTTAGTTACATAATGGCAAAGTGTTAAGGGATTTAATTTTAGCCTTCAGCAAAATTGCTACAAAAGGTAATTAAGTGTTTCATACCTACTGCTTGATCACTTAGCTCAAGACTTCCAAGGTTATACCCATTTTCAAAATGTAACTCTAAGATTTGTTCAAGTTCAAAATGAAATCTAGGCATTGTAAGTCACAATGTGAATTACTAGCACTTTAAATTAATTTTTAAAATATTTAATGTATACTTGGGAGAAAATACGTGCAGTAGTTACTTTCTCACTCTGAGTTGAAGGGAAAATTTAACTAGGGAAAGTGCTATGAAACATTTTTTGAAGGCTATTATTATACAATACCTTTTTCTTTTGGCTTTGGAGTTCCTCTTGGCTGTTATTTCATTTTCTGCTTCTGATTCACTTGCATTCTCACTCTCCTCACTGAAGGTGTCCTCACTGCTGTCTTCATTGCTGTCTCCTTCCTCTTCACTGTCACTTCCAGATTCACTCTCTTTGAAAAACAAACAGAAAAACCCACATGTTCTTTGACTTGAAGCCACCTAATTATACATAAGGACAAGTCCACTTGCAACTGGTAATGTTCATCATGAAGGAAACCAGATATTTTGTTTCAGATGGACCTCTCTTGTTCAACACTATTTTTGCACCTTTTGTTTCTAGACCTATGGGTTCCTGTGGCAGAATGAGCTTGAGACTGAATTTTGAGAGACTCCAATTGATAGAAGATGCTTTGATGGTGGGTAGGGAAAAACAAAGCCAAGATGAATCAAGTAAACCAAATTTAAGGGACTCTCACTCTTCAAGCCTGTAAATAGTTATCACATTCTTTTTTTTTCAATCTATCTTTCTCTCTTCCTTTCTTAGAATGAAAATAGTATAAAGATAAATAATTGTGAATCTAATTCCAACTGGAGATTTTTACTTAGAGAAAAATAAACAACAGTTAGATCTTATTTGAAACAAATTTTGAAAGGGAAAATGAGACACTCAAAAATTCAAAAACAAGCAAAATTACTAAATAAGACATTTTATTTAATAAAGAAGTTTTTCATTGATGATAAATCTACGTTAAGGAACTATATACTTAAATGTATAAATTATGGTATACTAGGACTCTTGATGAAGTAATACATTAAGTATGTGTAATTTCAGATGAAGTATATTATTATTTAAAATGATTATAACTGCAGAATTATATTCTATATTAAAGAACAAACTTTGCTCTTGCCTATGATCTATGTAATGGCACACCCTTTATGAAGAAACTTAGCCTGTAATGAAACAGTATTCTAATAGGTATGTAAGACTTATTTTAGAGATTAAATTCTGTACCATAGTAGAAAGCTATGACTAATGATGTTAGTTTTTCAGAGTAGCTTGTAGTGGGGAAAGAAGGGGTTCTCATGTGACAATGCTGAAATTCAAATCTTGGCTCTACCACATACTAGATGAAAGACCGAGTAAATTGTTTAACCTATGACTCTCAGTTTCCTTTACAGCAGGTGGCAACATTATTATTACTTGACAGGACTGTCATAAAGATTAAACAATTTGAAATTTGTGATGGTGATTATAACAGAACTGCTACCAGAGAAGACACTCACCATCATTACTTCGCAGAAAGAATAAATTCCATTTTACCCAAACTGATAAATGAAGAGAGTTGGAGCCAGGTGCTGGTGGCGCATGCCTGTAATTCTAGCTACTCAAGAGGCTGAGATCTGAAGATGGAGGATTAAAGCCAACCTGGGCAGAAAAGTCTCCCTGAGACTCTCATCTCTAACTCATCACCCCAAAACTGGAAGTAGAGCTTTGGCTCAAAATGGTAAAGCACTAGATTTGAACGAAAGAGCTCAGGGACAGGACCCAGGCCCTGAGAGTCCCAGCTTCATGACTGACAAAAAGAGTTGAAATTTGTTAGGATATCAGTTATATCATGTATATAGTAAGTTGGGCAACCAGCGCATGTTAGAAATAATGAAGAGAAATTACGAATCTAAGTATTTTACATGTTATTTACTACATATGAGATCAACATGAGTTTGGATCCAGCTCACTTAAGGAAGTGTTATTTAAATTTACTAGTTAGTGAGAGTCTTCAGGAAATTTCTTTGTTCTCAAAAAGATATGGTTTTTTTTTTTTGGGGGGGGGGGGGCGTTCGGTTGTGGGGCCTGAACTCTGGGCCTGGGCTCTATCCCTCAGCTTTTCAGCTCAAGGCTAGTGTTCTACCACTTGAGCCACAGTGCCACTTCCGGCTTTTTTCTTTTTGCTTATGTGGTGCTGAGGAATCGAACCCAGGGCCTCATGCATGCAAGGCAAGCACTCTACCACTGAGCCACCTTCCCAACCCCTCAAAAAGATATGTTCACTGGATAATTTGTAAGAGAAAAGTTATTTTTTCCTCTGAAAGCTATAATGAACCACATGACTACCTATATGAACTGTAATAAATCCATAAAAATTCAACATTAATGAACTATTTCATATTCAAATTGGAAAAGGTTTATTTAGGAATAGATTTATTTTTATGTAGTATAAAACACTTATTTAATCTGGCACTGGTGGCTCATGCCTGTAATCCTAGCTACTCATGAGGCTGAGAGCTGAGGATCATGGTTCAAAGCCAACCCAGGCAGCAAAGTTCATGAGAATTTTTTTTTTTTTTGGTCAGTCTTGGGGCTTGAACTCTGGGGCCATGAGAATCTTATCTCCAATTAACCTCCAGTAAACTGGAAATAGAGCAGTGACTCAAGTAGTAGAGCACTAGCCTTGAGCAGAAAAGCTCAGAGACAATGCCCAGGCCATGAGTTCAAGCACTATAACCAACAAAACAAAGCAAAACAAACAAAAACAAGTATAGAAATATATCTCTCACTGGTCTACCTCATTCCCTAAATTCTATACTTTTTAATGTCAACTTTTTAATGTCAACTGGTATTTTTTCCAGTTTCAATTTATTATATAGTTTATTATATAATGTGCCACAGTTAATTTATAGATTCTGAAAACAAAGATTTTTACAAGGAAAATGGGAAAAAATGAATGACTTTAGAGTCAGACAACAGAAAACCAACTAATAATAAGGGGTCTTGGTTATCCAAGAAATAAAAGGCTTATGGAAAGTTGAGTATAATTTGGTTTTTAATCAGATGTGCTTCCAAGGCTAACTCTGAATATAAAACTGTTAGAAAGTGACTCCAATAAATTGACAAATCACACAGAAAATTTTGGTAATGAACAAATTTTAAGAAGACCTACCTCTACTCCTTCAACTGTAAGATAAAAAGATAGGTACCTTACTTAATTAGCAAAGGACTTTTAAATTCTTCCTATTAAGCATTCTTTCAATTGCATATGGCTGCCCTCAACCTTTTTAGCTCTGAAAAGAGAATTCTGAGAAGTTCTAAATTTAGTTTAGAATGGTTGAGAATAAATGGATGAGAAGAAAGAGTTTCCATGTAATCTACAGTGTGAATTATTTATATATATAAATATATAAAAACCCACCACTGTCACTGCTGCTATCAGCGGAGTCCTGTTCTTCTTCAGATTCAGAATAAAATTTTTTAGCAGGACTTTCTTTCTTTGCTTTTCCTGATGGAATCCATTCTTTTGCCTGTATATATATATAAACAAAGAAAGTAAATGTAAGTAGTTCTCATTAAAGGATTCAGACTTCTGGCAAATGCAATCATTGAGAATATACTACAAACTCCTAAGCAAGGTCATGGCCTCAACAGAGAAGTCCTGGCAATAAGGTCAATTTATTCCAAACAGAACACAAATTCTCATTCAGCACTCTTTATGCTAACCCCACCTTCCATTAAAAATTTAAAATAACGTCATAGAGCCTATAATAATTGAGAGCAATTAGAGATAGATATAGTAATAACAACAAGAAATCCAAGCTTAGTAATAAAGAGAGAAAAAAGAAAAAAAAAATTAATGTTGGCAATAAATCACCCTAACCACTCAACATCTTAAACCTTGACTTTTCTCTCTTTCATCCCAAACATCAAGTAACTTTTCTGCCCTGGATTGGCCAACTCTCTCCTGGATTATATGACAGTCTCTTAGCTCTATTTCCAATCTGTCCCCAATCAAAGTTTGTTGAATACAGTTATCAGGATGAATCCATCAAAATCTGACAGATTACGGTCCTCCTTGGTTTGAAACCTTGTAATGGTTCCCGATTTGATGCAGAGAAGTCTAAGTCTAAGTGCATGACCTGATAAGACCATCCCTTACACTTACGCTGACCAACCTCTACCACTCTTCTTGCGTACTCGACTCCAGTTAGTCCTCACAGTTTCCACCAAAACCCCAGGTCTACTTTACTTGAAAGATTTGCCTCTTTACTTGAAATCTATTCCCTCTCCAATACAACCTCCACTTTGATCAACAGCACTTAATATATTCTTTCCAAAATACTATACAGTTTTTTTGTTTGTTTGTTTTTGTACTAGAGTTTGCATGTAGGACATTTCACTTGCTAGGCAGGTGTTCTACCAACTGAATTTGTCCCTAGTACTTTCTGTTTTACTTTTTGAATAGGGTCATGTTTTTCCCTCAGTTGGCCTGGACCATGATCCTTACATTTATACTTCCCCCAGACCTGGATGAGAGAAACACACTACTCCCAGCTCAGTAGTTGAGATGGGAATCTCACTAACTTTCTGACTACAAGCTGGCTTTGAAACAATCCTGTTCTCCTCTCAGTAGATAGTATTACAAGTGTGAGCCACTATGCTCAGCTATTTAATTTCTAATTGCTGGTTATTCAACAATTAGAATGAGCTTCAGGAGAATAGGGATTTTTAATATTTTTAATATTTTATATATTTACATATATGTCTGTCACAATAAATATTTATTACTTTTTTTTGTTGGTCGAGGGGCCTGAACTAGGGGCCTGGGTGCTGTCCCTCAGCTCTTCAGCTTAAAGCTAGTACTCTACCACTTAAGCCACAGCACTACTTCCAGCTTTTTTTTTCTGCTTATGTGGTGCTGAGGAATTGAACCTAGGGCTGATTCTTGCATGTGAGGCAAGCACTGTACCACTGAGCCACCTACCCAGCCCTTATTACTGCTTTAAAGATTCCAATTTTACATTAAGATAGCTTTGTTTAGATTTAAGAAAAAGATGGACTTTTGTATTCCCTAAATATAGTAGCAATACTGTTTACTAATATTAGCCTCTGGAGAGTTTAATACATGTAAGGAAATTTAATATAAGAAAACTGTGACCTTGACTCATGATGAAAAATTATTTTCATGTATCTTTAAAGAAAAATGCAAGAAAACTGTAGTGGCTCACGCCTGTAATCTTAGCTACTCAGGAGGCTGAGATTTGAGGATCATGGTTCAAAGCCAGCAGCCTCATCAGGAAAATCCATAAGACTCTCACCTCTAATAAACTATTCAGACATGACACTGTGGTTTGAGTGGTAGAGCACTAGACTTGAGCAAAAAAGCTCAGTGAAAGCTGGGTGTCAGTGGCTTACACCTGTAATCCTAGCTACTGAGGAGGCTGAGATCTGAGGATTACAGTTTAAAGCCAGCCCGGGCAGGAAAGTCCTTGAGACTCTTACCTCCAATAAACCACTAGAAAACCAGAAGTGACACTGTGGCTCAAGCGGTAGAGCACTTGCCTTGAGCTGAAGAGCACAGGGATAGTGTCCAAGCACAGAGTTCAAGCCCCACGACAGACAAAAAAAAAAAAAAAAGCTCAGGGACAGAGCCTAGATCCTGAGTTCAAGCATCAGCAACCTCCCTCCCCCCATCCCCTTCAAAAAAAGGTTAAACTGGCTAATACTCATTTATTATATTTTCAATTGACTTTCTGCAGAATATAAGCCTCTTCTAGGGTACATATTTTACTGTAAAGAAATATATGTAGCTTGACACAGGTTCTTATCCAAAAATGGGTCTCAACACAGGGTGTACATTTGAGTTTTTAAAACACTAATATAAATAATGAAAATATTAATTCTAACCTCCCAAGATCCTAATTTATTAGAGGCATAGGTTTCAAGATCTCTATGTGATTATAAAGTGCAGCTACAATTGGAAACTACTGATCTAAAAGGCTTAAGGAATGTAGCTCCAAGAGATAAGCTTCAGTAGCCTTGAAAATTACTATCTGGACATAGGAAACTGTAGAAATTATTTGAATATATTTTAATAAGATCAATATTCCTGCTTTTTATATATATTTATGCCTCCAATTTGATTAAAAATAGTATACATAAAGGGTCCTATAAACAAAGGATCCATATATTTAATGAGTAACACAGTTTTCTTAAATCTATACAAACTATGCAGACAGTCTATTAAATTCAGTAAAACTAAATCAATAGAAAAATGGGCTCTCATGCTCATTTCTTGGAATGACCAAAGAATCTATATTCATGGAGCCTCAGTTTTTTTTTTGTTATTGTTGTTACTGTTAGTCGTGGGGCTTGAACTCAGAGCCTGGGTGTTATCCCTGAGCATTTTGCTCAAGATTAGCACTTTTACCACTTAAGCCACAGCTCCATATCCAGAACCAGGTTTTAAAGACTAACCACAAAAATATTTTAATTTTTGTTGTGGTATGATATCTATAACAGTCAAAACAAAAGGAATAGAAAAAAAATCTTAGAAGAAACAGAGGCACTAATCAGAAATTTCCAGTAAAAGATAAAATATTAGCTATTCTATGTTTATAAAGCAAAATAGCTTTAATATACAAATGATAGTCTATAAGTGAAGAAAACATTTTCTGGAACTAAACAAAAACTATACCTAAATGACCTTCCAAACTTAGTACCATAACATAAATTTATGTTGTATCTAATATTCTAGAAATGATAGTGTGTAATTCAAAGTGACTTCTAGTGCCAATCTGACTAGCTCCTTGTTGTTTTGATCAAAATAACAGATTACTTAAGCTTAACCCACTTTTTCTACAAAGTTATATTTCACAGTAATGACATTTTGACCCTATAATATCACTTTACAGTACACCTACAATAGCACAGTGTATTATGTTAATAAAAATCATTGGTGTGATTTTTGGAGGTGGTTGAGATAGTAAGAGGCAGGAAAGATGATCTGACCATTACTTGATACACTGTTACAGATGCATTTGAAAATAGAACTAGCTATATTATGTTTATATTCAATTCTATCCCTCATAATATAATTTTAAGCCAATATGTCTCAGAGAGCAATAGATTGAAGCTATTTTCTACATGGCATCAATGGACAGTGTCAGTTCTTTACAATCTGGCTCCATCAGTTATAATTATTATCCATATAGTTATCAATTATTAAGTTCAAAAATAAGATAGTTAACACATGCAAACGAAGAAGCCAGCTATCAGGCAATATAAGGATACTGCTGAGACCAAATGAAAGTATGACACACTGCTATCAATTTGTGAAAAGATAAGTCCTTTTTGGCGTGTGTGTGTGTGTGGGGGGGGGGGGTGGAGTGGAAGCAGTGGTAAGGCAATAGGAAAGTGAGTAGAGGATAGATGTGGTGGGAGGATAAAAGTATGGTCCTGTTTGAACCAAGACATGATGTGCCCAATCATGAAAAAGGACAGAACCATAAACAACAAATAGACATAATTATTAGGAGAGAATATATCCGCAGAAAGAAATATATCAAAGAACACTTTATGTTCTAGTACTTGATTGAAAATTGCACAAATAAGGTATTTGTGTTCAAGTGTACTTAGAGTTGAATGAAAAAATAAAATAAAAAACCTCAGTTGTAAAAGGAAATAGACATGCAATTCTCTTTTCTCTTATCTATCCCTAATCAGCAATAGTTTGTTACAATATGAAAATTATGTACAAAGTATAAACCAGATCTACAAGCTCAAGCTTCCTCTTTTCATATTACATAATCAAAGCAGTTTAAAAAACCCATATATTTAAGATATCCTAGGCTAGAATCCTGTTCCTTTCACTTACCAGATATGTGAACCTAAGCAATTTACTTAGATTCTCTAAGTCTTGCTTTCTTTATCTACAAAGTTGAAATAACAACTACCTCTTATGATGAATCTGAGTTTTAGACAATATAATGTTTGTCAAATATCAGCACTTACTGCTAGGGTTTGCTCAAAGGCATAATTATTAAGTACTGATTGCTTCTGGTCATGACATAAAGCTAGAATGTTTTAGTAGTTATGAGAAAATTATTTCTGAGAGGAATCAAATTACATGGTTATGTTTATTGCAGAAATTATGTTTAAAATAATAAAAGTTCTCTTCTGCTGCAGATGGAAAAGTTAAGAGCAAAGCTAACTAACTTACTAACAGGAATTAGTGTTAAAGAATTCTGGTTGTCTGAATTGTTGTTCAATGTGTATTTTTCTATCAGAAAACATCCAGAGTATAATTCTTAATTGCTTATTTAATATTAATTCTACTTTTAAAAGTACTGGATTATTCACATAAATAAATGGCGATAGAATTGAAAGGTCCATTTTCTTTGTTATAGAAAAAGAAACCTGTTAATATTAATCATTTTAATATGTCTGATTTTTTAAAGAAAAAGATATAGAAAAAGAATATCTAAACAGCAGGATTTTTTTTTTGTTTTTTAATATGAACATATCATTCATTTTAAATGTGACCCCAACAAAGGACATTTTCAGCACACAATGTTCCCTATTTATAGTTAGGCTTTACTTAAAGCACTATATCAGAAAATCAAGAGTACTCTGTATAGTTTTCTGGAAGAGAATAGCAAAAATTATTTATAAAAGCACTGACAGGAAGCTTACGAATCTCTAACAAAGTAGAAAAAGCTCAATCCATTGAAACTAAGTACCTTAGAAATTGAATCTACACAGCTACAAATGCAATCGCACAAATGTGGGTGGCACTGATGCAGAGAATTCAATTCTCTGTTTCCTTGAAGAAAAGGAACAGAACATGTACATTGACATAGGAATACTATACTGTTTAGTTCCTGTGAAGAAGAGGTATATCCAACACATTACATTTAGAAATACTAGAACAACTGTCAATTTTCAATCCTCCCAAAAAGCTTTATGTAAAATAAGTTACCATAGAATCTCCCAATGCTTGAACAAAATTAATTTCAGAAAGGTCAACTTACCAACTCTATTACTTCTACATTTCGAACTGACGGGTCAGGCGCCACCTCTGGCCAATTAGATAATTCCAGGTACCCAGAAGCCTTAATGTTGAGAGTATGAGATAGGGTGCCAAGCTGGAAATGATCCCTATCTATTAAAGGTAGAGGAAAATATAAAATAAACAATATGAGCTGCATATAACAGAGAACAATCCTAATCAGAGCTCAAGGTAATTGGCATATTACTTCAAATGTCAAGGAATAAATATAAACTAGGAAGCTCTTCATAGGTCAAAAAACTGATTTCAGCCCATAGATTACAATAATCTGTCCCATAATGGTCAATAAAAAAACTAATCAGTCAGTGTGTTTAGAGGTGTTGCTCTGAAATGTAGCTTCTCTAAAAATTACTTTACTGTGAATATTAAGAATGACAGCACCGTTAAACAATCCATATACATGTCTTAGCACAAACACACCCAGAATTTTAATAGTTTTTCTACAAAACTCAAATGCTTTTTTATCACTTTACAGCAATTAAATAAGAAACAATATGAAAACCAAGGTATCTGATCATTTGACTCCAACTGTAATGACTACTTATTAAACTGATAAAATATTTAATTAACCATTTTTAGAAAGCTGAGGAAAATAACACTCTCTCTTCTTGAAAAATGAATTTAAATATAAAAAGATTTTTTAATCAAATAATTCTTATTAGAAATTTTGAGATTAGTGTACACAGATGTTTAATAAAATTTCACGATTAAGATTACTTACATTCTTTATGCAATAAAACTATTTAAAATAAAATGAAGTGCTTATAAGAATAAAACAGATTTTTAAAACTATTTCTAGTTAAAATATTTAGTAAGAACAAAATTCACAAAGACCTGAAATTATTTAGGAAAATAAGATCTAGAATAACATAAGCCTTACTATAAAAGTTGCTCCAAAACCACAAATGAATAGAAAGCACATTGTTCTTACATGCCTATTTCCTATTCATTTATATTTCTAAAAGATAAATTTTAAGCACATTAAAAGTGGGACATATTGTTGTAATAACACATATTTTGTAGTAATACAATCTAATAGTAATACCTTTAAAAGGAGACTCAAGCAGCGGTGCAGGTTTTTGCGCCAGGAATATTTTTTTGGCATATTTACTTAAAGCTCCACTCTTCTCATTCGGAACAATAAGCTGCCTAATAAATCTTGTACGGTCTCTGATGTCATAGTTTTGATCATACTTGCCGAGATTTAATATGTACTGGGTAAGCAATTTTGTCTGTTGGAAAAAACAGAACAAGATGAGAATACAGTTATTTATGATTATTGATAACTCTGGATAAACATATTTAAAGACATAATAAAAATGAATGGTTATGTCAAACAAATGTTGTTCCGTAGGGAATATGCATTTCTAACACGGCAAATGGAATTTTGAAGCCAAAGCACATGTCCTCTTCTGTACTGGGGAGGTGAATGCTGAGTACTGAGAAGCAGCCATGTGCTAGATTATTAAACTGCTGAAGTGGAAAGAAAGGCATCATTAAAAAAATAATCATATATGGCAAACCCGCTGAAGGGTCTACGTGAGAATAATGAATGTGGAAATACAACTAAAAACATGGCACTCAAAACTTAATCGGAAAAATATGCAGGACATCAAAACATCAGAGAGTATTAGGGGGCTGGCAAACTGCTTCTCCTGAGGTGTGTTTTATGAAGAGATACTGTCCCTGGCATAAGCAGTGTCTGCACTCTGACTGCACTCAGTTACTTTACCCTGAATTATGACCCATTAAAGCAGACACATGAATCACTGAACTGGATTACTGCAAATTATTTGCAGTGCATTTAGCTGTTACTTTTTCATAAAAGCAAGCTGCTGATGCCCTCTAAAAACTAGGATAAAAGACTTCTTCCATTTTTCCCCATGCTGCTTATAGCCTCTAGTAATATTGGTCATTTATTTATTTATGTAGGGAACAACTTATTATAGCAGCTTTTACACCTTAATAAGACTTCCTAAGTCAATTTTTGAATGTACTACATTAACATATATTGAAATAATTTTAATAATAATTAAATAAAAATTGAAATGGTAACAAAATAGGTTTATATTTTAAACTACAGTTTTTTATTGAAAATACATAATTTCAATTTAGAAGACTACACATGCAATTGTAACTAAATACTAAATAGGATTCATAAAACAAGAGAAAAATAAACTGAGGAATAGTAACTTATTTACATTAGACCATGTTACACACATTAGAAACAGATAAAAATAAAAACAATCAAGGTAGAAAGAACAAAAATAATGCTAGACTGCTAGGTCAAAATACAGAAATGGTGTGTCAAACTCCTTCACAAAAATAATTGGTTAAGATAACTGAATTAGATACAAAGCAACCTTCTTTCAGTCACAGGGTATTTAAAAAGCATTAACTTGGTTTTATTAAATTAGAATTATTTTTAAAAATACAGGAAAATACTAATATTTTCTGAATTTCATTAGGAACAGTTGTTATTCACTAACTGCTAGACCAGGTTCAACTTGTTTATAAAAGAATAATTCTGATTCCTTTTTAAAAATAATTACCAAAATAATGACAAAATGAGAAATACCACTCAATATCACCTTAGAAAGAATTTTGGTACATGAACATACACAGATATCTTCCCTGAAAACCTGGCAAATTCACTTAAAAATTAGTTATCTCAAATGTAGAGTGAGAATTCACAACTAGCTTAACTTTCAAGTCTATCTGAGCATTGAAATTTAGAATATGCAATAAATATACCAGGGAAATTAATTGTGTTACTTAGAAAAGTATTCTTGAGCTAACACATTTTGCTTAAAAGTTTCCTATCCCCAAACTAACTTTGAAAAAATTAAACTTTTCAATATATAAATTGGCATTATTGAGAACAAGATAGGGCATTAAAGTAATTACAAGTGGATAATATAAAATATGTATTTATGACTATAAAATCTATAATACTGGGTATTTTATAAATATTTCTACTAAAACATATTCTCAAAAATAAAATTTGAAGATGGAGAAGAAAGACGAAGGGCAAAATCAGTTGAAACCCCTTGGTACAACTATTTTGAAAAAAATGTAAATTAAAAAAAAATAAAATTTGAGCATGGCACTGGTGGCTTACATTTGTAATCTTTGCTACTTCGAAGGCTGAGATCTAATGATTGTGATTCAAAGTCAGCCTGGGCTTTGGAAAGTTCTCAAGACTCCGATCTCCAGCAAAAAACTAGAAGTAGAGCTGTGGCTCAAGTGGCAGAGCACTAGCCTTGAGTGGAAAAAGCCAAGCAAGGGCAAGAGATACTGAGTTCAAGTCCCAGTTCTGCCATGAAAAATAAATTAAATTTGAGACACATCTAAATGGGTGAGTCAGAGACTATAGATCTTCCAGAACAACTTTTATAACGAGCTGGTAGCATTTAAGTAAAATTATGGCATTACCAGGTGGAACATAAAATAGTACTGTTCATGTTGTTTTATTCATCAATTACATAAGAATTAAACAGAATATAATGTACTGTAACCAGAAATTTTCAATCTTATATCCATTTATTAAATTGTGATTTCAGATTAATTTTCCTGCCTAAATTTAAGGAACCATTTCAGGTATCTAATGGCAAAGCCAAACACTATATTTAAATCAATTACATTCTCTTCATGTTGACTCCAAATCACTAAGGTCAAGAAGAAAAAATAATTTGGGTAGATGTTTATAAAATTTAATAAACTTATTATTTTAAAATAACTTTTCAAGATATGGGTGTTATATTTTACCCAATCTAACAAGTAATAAACTGCTTTTTTTTTTTGTAGTACTGGTATTTGAACTCAGTGCTTCATGCTTATTAGGCAGGCATTCTACCATACAAGGTATGCACTAGTCCTTTTTTTAAAAAAAAATTATTTATTTATTTTTATTGTGAAAACACTGTACAGAGGGGTTACAATTACATGGGCAAGATAATGAGTACATTTCTTATCAAGCATTGTAGCCTCCTCCTTTGTTTCCCCTTCCCATCCTCCCCCCCCCAATCTTCCCCACTCCCCCTCTCCCGCACCAAAGTTGTAAAGTTCGCTTTTTTTGGGGGGGGGGGGAGGGGGGATCCGGTCGTGGGGCCTGAACTCTGGGCCAGGGCACTGTCCCTCAACTCTTCAGCTCAATCAAGGCTAGCACTCCTAGCACTCCACCACTTGAGCCACAACACCATTTCCGGCTTTTTTCTTTTTGCTTATGTGGTGCTGAGGAATCGAACCCAGGGCCTCAGGCATGCAAGGCAAGCGCTCTACCACTGAGCCACCTTCCCAGCCCTTAAAGTTCGCTTTCGACATAACGACTTGTACATCTCATGGTTGCAATGGGTCCACCTGTATCCCTAGTAAAACGATTTGTTTTTCCCCTTCCCCTCCACAAATTATACCGACACCAAATACAGTGAAAGCAGGGGTTATACTGTGGGGGAGGGGCATACAAAGCAACGAAGGATAATCTTATAAATGCTTTAGAAACGATCACATGAAAGAAAAAAAAAAAACATTTGAATACATATCTTAGAGTTCATTTCCCTAACATCACCTTATCTGACCTTTTCTGCTTGACTCAAACATATACTAGATATTGCAAATAAGGGAAACCATGGGACCTATGTTTCTTTGGTCATGGCTTACTTCACTTAATATAATTTTTCCAAGCCTTTCCATTTCCTAACAAATGGGGCAATGTCATTCTTTCTGATGGAGGCATAGAATTCCATTGCGTATATATACCACATTTTCTTGATCCATTCATCTACTGAGGGGCATCTGGGTTGGTTCCATATCTTAGCTATAGTAAATATGCACTAGTCCTTTTTGCTTTAATTATTCTTCAAATACTGTTTCACTTATACTTGAGCTATCTAGAACCAAAATCCTCCTATTTATACTTCCCGTGTAGATAGGATGAGAGACATATACCATTGCACACAAACTTTTTACATGGGCTGTCCAAACATCAATTCTCTAATTTCTGTCTCATTAAGCAACAAATATTAATTAAAACAAAAGCTTTTGGTGGGCAGCAGCGGATCATGCCTGTAATCCGAGCTACTCAAGAGGATGACATCTGAGAACTGAGGTTTGAAGCCAGTACAGGCAGGAAAGACAGTGAGACACTAATCTCCAACTAACCAACAAAAAGCCAGAAGTGGAGCTTGTGGCTCAAGGTAGAGTACTAGCATTGAGAAAATAAAAAACAAACAAACAAAAAAAAAAAAAAAAAAAAAACTCGAGACAGTGCCCAGGCACTGAGTTCAAGCCCCAGGACCTGCACAAAATATAATAACACCATCACCACAATAGCTTTCTTCTAATACAGTCATTGATCACTTAATGATGAAGATACAATCTGAGAAATTGAAAGGCAGCTTCAGAATGTACTTAGAGCTAAAGGGCCTACAACATTTTTTAAAGCAGCCTTTACTAACTTTTTAAATTATGTTAATTTAATTCTGGTAATAAAATTTTAGGATTCTGGCTCAAATTTTAAGTAGACTTAATGAAACAGCTAAATCTTTATACTGTCTTTTATTTTTGTTTGCTGTTGTTTGAGACAAGGTTTCAAGATCTAGAAACAGATACGTAGTAAACAGCAGTAAGTAGGGTTCAATACAAGTAGATAACTAACATGAATCAAGCACTATTATGAGCAAGGAAATCTAAGCATTTTACATTTACTGTCTCATTTAGTCCTCATAACAACTTTCTGTGGTAGGTACAGTCAGTTCTGCTTGAATGCTTGTTTTAAAAATGTCCATTTGCTCCAACTCAGTTGATGTATGACAATTTGGGGATAACTGAATTTTATTTCTTTTGTAAGAAATAGGAAGTGAAGGCAGAAAAGTGCACAGAGATTAAATGGGCTATGCAGGATTCCAGGAAGCATACATACCTCATACATCGACTCCAGATATTTAACCATCTACATGTGCTATGAGTCATACTCATGTACATTTGGGAGTATAGGAAGCGCTATTACAGATTTAATACCTACAGTTTTGACCAAGCCTGGTTACAAAAAAAAAAAAAAAGAATTCTCATAGGTGTATTTTGATCTCAGTTGATGTAGAAAAGCTCTCAAGTCACTCTTGTATGATCATTAGTTGTGTTCGAACTCTATATATCCTGTTTTTCCACAAGTGATTTTCAAACCATATACCCATTCATGGATCTAAGGGTTGGCTGTACAGCTTTCCATTCAATT